TGAGCATGTAGACCATATTCCAGGGGATCTGATGTCCTTTTCTGACCTCTTCAGGCACTGCACGATATGGGTGCACTTATACACATGCAAACAATATACACAAAAATAAAAATAATAAATATTTTAAAAACAGTGGGCTGGAGAGATGGCTCTGAGGTTAAGAACACTGGCTGCTCTTGAAGAGGTCCCAGGTTTGATTCCTAGCACCCATATGGTGGCTAACAACTGTTTGTAACTTCAGTTTCAGGGGATCCAAGACCTTCTTCTGACCTTTGTAGGCATTGCACAACATACATTCACGCAGGCATAACACTCATACACATAAGATATAAATAAATTAAAAAAAAAAGAACCAGGGGGGGGGCGGGCGTGGTGGTGCATGCCGTTAATCCCAGCATTTGGGAGGCAGAGGCAGAGGCGGAGGCAGGTGGATCTCTGTGAGTTCAAGCCCAGCCTGGTATACATAGAGAATTCTAGGCCAGCTATGCTATAGGAACTCTCAAAAAACAAAAAAAATAAAAAATAAAAAATGAGGAAGCAAAAACCAAGACCAAAAATAAAATAAAATAAATAAATAAATAAATAAATAAATAAAATAAGAAGGGGGAAGAAAAGAGGCCTAAATTCCTTTAAGGCAGCCTGGAGAGATGACCCAGTGGGCAAGAGCACTCTTCCAGAGGACCTGAGTTTGGTTCCTAGTACCCACATTGGATGGTTCACAAGTGCCTGTAAGTCCAGCTCCTGGGAATCTTGTATCCTCTTCTGGTTTCTGTGGACACCTGCACATATGTGCACAGACATACACACATATAAATAAAAATAAAATCTTTAAAAATTCCTTTAAGGAGCTGTGTCACATGACATCTCATGTCCTTCATAATCTGGCCCTGTCATATGACATCTGATGTCCTTCATAATCTGGCTTCTGTTATCCAGAATTATTACCTCCACCTCCCTATTTGGCTACTTGCCTTCTTTTCTTTGTAGAGAGAAGGACCCAAACTTTAGTCTTGTTTTTATCCTGCTTCCTATCAGTTTTTGGCCTGACAGTCACTTAAAAATGTTGGTTGACAGCTGGGGGCTACAGGGAGACCCTGTCTCAAAATGACAAAAAAAAAAAAAATGTTGGTTGAGGGGTCACCTAAATTCCCTCTGGGTCTCTTGCGCTATCAAGCAAACCATATAACATATCTTTACGTGCATTTATTATTATCATGGGGGGGAGAGGGGAGTAACAGAGGAATGAGTACCCAGTGCCTAGCCCCGTGCCTCTGGCGGCACAGCTCAGAGGCCGCCATATCAGACCCCGCCACACCCATAGTCACCGCTACCATTCACTCATGCCTCAGGGGCCAGCGATCTCGCCCCAGGTCCATTCTGTCCTTGAGCTGCTCCCCGTTGTGTTCCCCACACCACAGC